ATATAGCTAAAATTAATATATAAGTTTTTATTAAAAAAATTAAACTTTTTAATAAAAATACAGGCAAATTTGCCTGTATTACAATTTAAGGGATATATATTAACTACCACCCTTCTTTTTTTAGATGAATTTTAGTTTTTTTTTGTTAATTTTTCATATAGAATTATGTTTTTGGTTTTGATAAATACTATATATTGTACTATTTGATTTTAATTTCTTAAACATATTAACTACTACTTTTTTCTTTTCACTCAGGTTTTGGTTTTTCTTTGTCGATTCTTTATATAGAATTATGTTTTCAATCTTGATGAATACTATATAATGTACTACTTGATTTTGATTTCTTAAACATGTTAACTACTACCTTTCTCTTTCTAAATAGGTTTTAGCTTTTCTTTGCTGATTTTTCATATTAAATTATATTTTTGATCTTGGTAAATACTATATATTATAACAATTGATTTTGAGTTCTCAAATATATTAACTATCACCCATCTTTTTCTAGGTAGATTTTGGTTTTTTTTTGTTAATTTTTTATATAGAATTATATTTTTGGCTTTGGAAATACTATATATTATACCACTTGATTTTGATTTCTTGAACATATTAACTACTATCCTTCTTTTTTCAGATGGGTTTTAGTTTCTTTTTATCGATTTTTTATATAAAATTATATTTTTAGCCTTGGTGAATACTATATATTGTATCACTTGATTTTAATTTCTCAAACATATTAACTATTACCCTTCTCTTTTCAGGTGGGTTTTAGTTTTTCTTTATTGATTCTTTATATAGAATTATGTTTTTAGCTTTTGTAAATATTATATATTGTGTTATTTGATTTTGATTTTTCAAACACATTAACTATTACTCTTTTTTTTCAGATAGGTTTTGGTTTTTTTTTGTAGCTTTTTCATATAGAACTATATTTCCAGCTACTTTATATTTTGTGTTAATTGATTGGAACTTGTGTTGGATTGTTAGTAGTGATTTGAATATGTTTGCTATTATAATGATCAAATTAGTAAGATCAATGATCATGATCGAATTTAAGGATTAGGTGCATATTTGTTTAAGAGTTGCATTTAATCATATTAGAAAATAGCAGTAGAATTAGTAGATTGATTAGATTTATTAGATGTAAAAAATATAATAGACATGGTAGATTCGATGGAATTGACAAATTCAGTAGAATCATTAGCTTCATTAGAATTAGTAGATATATAAATACTATATATACCTAGCATTTATTAATATGTAAAGGACATCTTGTATTTAGTATATACTCCAATAAAGTATATACTTAACTAGTGATACAGGCTAATAAAAAAATCTGTGGGTCAAGGGCTAATACTTGGTGAGTCGACTCAGGTCGACCAGGTCAGTCTTTTTACAATATATAATTCTTTAGCCAATCAAATTACAAAACGCTTACAATTTTTTTTTATTTATAATTTTTAAGATTTTGCGACATTTCAGGTTTGATATAACTGACAAATAGATTTAGATAGATCCAAAACACATACTCTTAAGATATGGACATATATACTTTTTCCTATTAATAACCTCTAACTATGATAAAAAACCTATACAGTATGAGCAAAGAACAAAAAAAAAACCCCATACAGTATGAGTGAAGAACAAAAAAAAAACCTATACAGTATGAGCGAAGAACAAAAAAAAAAAGGTACCTCCAAGCTAATTTATACTAAAAAAAAACCTTTACTCAAGCCTAAAAAAAATATTGAATAGATTCAAATTTGTTTTTAAGAACAATATATCATACATTGTACTTAGATCTAAGCAATTTCATTTTTTTGTTAGAACATTACCTGCTTCAAAAAATAAATGTTTGAAGGGTACAGAAGTTGCTAGAAAAGCAAGAAATTTTTGGGCTAATGATGCTAAATTTGGGTAATCTTTTTGATATGTATTCTACCAGATAAGAGGGTTGTAGGTTTTGTAAAGTAGGTGGTCTATGTAATATTTATTCATTTGTATTGCTTGTTCATACTGTTTTAATTCATTATTTGATGGATAATCAGATTAATTATCACTATCAAAAATCGATCTATTTTAGTTTGTTCTGGGGTATCAATAGTATTTGTGTTTATCATTTTCGCTATTATTTCTTGAACTTTTTTTTTTTTCTTTGTCAAAAAACATACTTTTGAAGTGAGGATTTAGGTAAGAGGAAATGTAAGCCTCTATTAAAGGTGCTTTCTAATGTTTAGTCATAGAATCTTTAATTTAATGATAAATATTAATTATATTAGATAAAGATAGTGCCTTTTTCATTCGGTACAAGTGTATGAATAAAAGGAAGATAGTAGAAAGTATAATGCCAAGGGTTGGATATTGTGCCTCTCTGATTAATTTTGTTGTATAAGTGAAAGAACCTAAAAGTAATGTTAGTTCTTCTAATTCTATCCATTCTGTGTTTGAGAGTAATTTTTTACTTAAAGTTTGTCTATCCTTTCTTTGTTGAAAATTAGGATGATAACATAATGATCTTGCAAGTTGCTTCACAGCATCTCGTAATTGAAATAACCTTTTTAAGACCAAAAAAGTCAAATTCCATCTGGTTTTTACATCACAAATAGGTTCGATGATAGATATGTTTTTTTTTTTTTTTGTAATTGTAATATTAGTTGTTCTAATAGTTCTGTTAAATCTTCAGGTTCTGATTCAGAATCTTCACCTTCCAATAGTGGCTATTCTGTGTCTTCCAAGACACTTTCTGACAATTAATTAAATTTATTTTGAATTTTACAAAGACTTTGATGATATTGATCTCTCTTTACTAACAAATTGTTTAATTTTTTTGCCTTATTTAAAAGATCATTACAAGCATTAAGTCTATTTTTAATAGATAATTGAATTGTATAGGCAGTGCAATGTATATGAGATGTTCTGAGGAGCCACATTCCTTTAACAATTGATTTATTATTATCAGTTGTTCCTCCAACCAATTTATCATATATATTCCAATATTCAAAAATCTTTGATAAAATTGTTCTTGGCATTCTTCCGAGTATGAATAAGGAAATTTCTCTATAGTTAATATTGCTTAATATAATTTAAAATTATTTGAAAGCCAATAGATAGTTACATTAATATAAGGATGATGCATACTAGTCTACATATCCATGGTGAAAGAAAATATTTCCATTGTTTCTAATATTAAATTATACAATTGATCTTCAGCAAAAAGTACTGATTCTCTAATTTTTGTTTTAATTAGAGCTAAGCTAGAAACCTTAAAACAAGGATCCATCTCATAACAAAATTGTCAAAAATATTTTCCTTTTACAATAGTCAATGCTTGACAATCATCAACTATCCATACAGTCAAATAATATAATAATTTTTGTTGTTTAACTAGCTTATGAGCTTCTATTTTTAAAAACATTAAAGGTATAGTCAGCATTGATTTATCTGGATCTATTATAGTTTGTCCATCCAAATTTTTTTCATATTGTTGATAAGAAAAAATTCAGTAGACAGAATTGAGATGTTTACCAAGATGCGTAGTTGATATTATATATTAGCAAAAAATATAGATGCAAAATTTTGAAAGTTATTGCATGCAAAAAAATTGCGAAAGAATTGTGATTGACACGACAGATTTAGAAATTTTAAAAATCGCAAAATAGCGCAAAATATTTTGAAAAAATGTGAAAAATTTTGCAAAATTTTTGCAAATATAATACATTAAAAACATATATATAAAATAAAAATTTGAAAAATATTTCACAAACTTTCACAATATTTCAAAAACTTTCAAAAATTTTCAAATAATTTGCAAAATTTTGAAAATTTTCGCAATATTTTGCAAAATTGCAAAATATTTTGAAATATTGTGAAAAATTTCGAAAATTTTTGAAAGTTTTTGAATTATTGCAAAATATTCAAAACTGTGTAAAATTAATATATAATACAAAATATATCGAATAATTTTGAAATTTTTAAATAATTTTAAAATATTTTTTAAAATTTAAATATACATATTAAAAACATTTATGATAGATTATAAAATAATTCTAAATATTTTTAAAAATTATAGTATATATTTAATACAATAAAATATATTTAACTTTATTTAAAATATATATTTATTTAACAAATAAAAGCAAATTTATTGATTTATAAAATAAAAGAAAAAAAAAGTAATATTATTCAAATATAATAAAAAAAAAACAAAAAAATTAAAAGGTTTACAGTTATTCCTGAAGTATCTTTTTCAGATGTATCTTCTTTAAAAGTATATTCTTTTTCTTCTGAATCATCTTGATCTTTATTAGAAATTTCTTCATTATCCTCTAGTTCTTGCTCATCAGAACTCATCTTAGTTACTTCTGGGATGTTTTGATTTCTTTTAGAAGTTTTGCCACTTTCTTCAAGTTCTTCTAAATTTTTGCTGCTTTCTTCAGGTTTTTCTACAATTTTTCAAATATATTCGAATATTCTAAATACAAAGATTTTCTTAATTAATGTTATATAAATATTTAAAATTACTTACCTTCTCTTGGTTTTTTTCTTGTTTAAAATTTATTTAATATTAGATTTTTCAAAATAATTAAAAATTTTTAATATATATATACTTTTTCAGTATACTTCAAAGGCCTTTTAAGTTTGCTATGCTTATTCTAAATTTTTTAAATATAGAGTTAATAAATAATAATAATAATAATTAATATATTTAAATTTTTACTTAATCCGAATCTTTTGAACTAAATTCTTTAGATTCTTTACTATTTTCTAAGCTAGAAGAATTACTATCAGAATTAGGTGGAGTAAATGTTTCATTTCTTTCTAAATACCGCTATAATTCAAATATATTCGCATTATTTTGTTAAGATTTTAAATTTTTAGAAAAAATAATAATAAAGACTTACTAGATTTCTTTCAACTCTTTGTTGTATAATTTTTTCACTAATTGCTAAGGTCTTGATATTAGGATTAAGTATAGTTTGGTATACTGCAATTGCATATGCAGCATTTTCGTTTGAAGTACTACTAGTTGGCCAGATTTTTTCTAAAATTCAAGTTATATAAGTATTTTTAGAACTTTCCTCAATATTCTTAATGAGTTTCTCATAATATTTTTTTGTTTTTGCTGATTTTTTCCAATTTAAAACTTTTTTAGAAGTTAATTTGTCATTAATATATTCTAAAAGATTTTCAAAAATAAAATACATAGCATTTTTAATTTTAGTATTTAAAGTATTTCACAAATGTCTAACTTTTTCCAAAAGCTTTAAAAAATATTATTATTAGTATTAGTATAAATTTTAAATTATTTTGCAATATTTAAAAAATATTCAAAATATTTTGAAAATTTTAAATTTTTTGAAATATTTCAAATATTTTTTAAATATTGCAAAATATTTTAAAAAATTTAAAATAAAACAAATTTTTACTGGTCCATTCAAGTTCTTTGCATGATAAATTTTCAACTGGTTTTTTGACATTTTATTTATAAAATCAGCATTATTTATTCTCAGATATATCTCTACTGCTGATAATAGTTCTTTTTTGTTTAGATAAATTGAATATTCTAATATGGCTTTAGTAGCCCAGCCCCTTTTACTATTTGCTATTATTTGAATTATATTAGAATATTTTTAAATTAATTTAAAGAAATAAAAATTTACTTTTATAAAAGCCTTTTCATTCGTAGTATCATATTTGTTTACTAATTTTTCTTCAAATTTTCTCAACTAATTTTCTAATCTAGTTACTTGCGAATGGAGTTGTCTAATTTCAAATATCATCTCTTTTTAATTTTCTAACAGTTTAGCTACAGTGCTTTCAGATACTTTAAAAAAATTAAAATATAATAAATATTATAAAATAAATTAAAATATTTAAAAACCTTTAAGTGATTTTGACATAGCTAACTAATTGCTAGTACTTTCTTCAATTTGTAAATTATTAAATCTTTCTTAAAAACTTTCACTAACAACTAATTTTTCTTTGGGCTCTTCTCTTAGATTTTTTTAGTCTTCTTGCTTTTATTTGTCTTGTTTTGCTTCTTCATAACTTTCTTGGAACTAAGATTCATATCTTTAAATATATTTAAAAATTTTTAAAAATATTCGAATAGTTTCGAATATATTAGCTTATATTTAAAAAATATTTAATTTTTTATAAGATATTATAATAATAATTTATAATAGCTATCTAATATAAAAAAAAATTAAAAATATTAAAGAAAAAGTTAGCTTATAATAAATGTAATAGACTTAAAAAAATTAAAATATAAGATTAACTTAACACTCTCTCTGTTAATCACTTGTACAAAAATTTTTTCTAAAAACTAACTTAACAAAATCTTATTTTCGCAATAATTTATTAAGATAACCTAATTTTTTATTTTAACAAAACCTTTTTTACAGATAAAATTACATATAATACTTAAACTTTAGAGAGACAGCTCTAAAACTCTTTAAATAATGGTCTCTTGGGTCATATAAGTCTCTTTTGCTGTTTACGCAAACTCCAGATTTTAAACCTTCTAACAAAACATAATACAAATTATTCTACATATTTTTCTCTTCAAAACAAGCTATAGTAGACCTCTGTAGCTTCAATATTAACTGAGTTATAAGCAAAACAATTTTTAACTCCGTTTATTTTTTCTCCTCTCTTTCACTTTGGAAATTTTTCTTTTTCCAAACATTTTCTGTGTAACCAAGGCTACCCCAGCTGTGCCACCCACGTTCTTTAACACTCTAAAACTAGTGGTGCCTTTTAAATCACACTAAAATTGCCTCATTTTAACTAATATCACACAATTTTAATATCTGCCTTTTTTGTAATTTCTATTTATACAATAAGATTTTCTTTTTAGTTTTATATAACATGTGATTATCACATGATTTTTGTGTAATACAAAGCTTCAAAATCCCGAATATTCTACGAACAGAGCTTAGGGACAGATAGAGACAGAGCAGAATCATGTGATTGGTTAGTTAGTGGTTAGGGTTTATGGATTTTAATAATATCATGTGATTCTGCTCTGTCCTTAAGCTTTGTCAGTAGAATTTCTGTCGAAATCCAACACATAGGTCACGTGACCTTTTGTGTAATCTAAAATAAAACCTCATTTTTATTTACTACTGAATAATCTACTCTAATATAACCTCTGCTCTATTTTTATACTCTATTTTTAACAGAAAAATTTAACAAAAAACTAATTTTTACCTCAAATTCTAAGTTAAACTTATTAATTTATATTCAATCTTAATTTCTCAAAATGCCTACTTTAACTTAACAAAAGCCAGATACTGTTGATCTTGACTACTTCTATGCATATTTCCAAGCAAGTTTTGGTATCACATTTCTCGAAGATGAACCAAAGAATAACTTAAAACTAATCCCTCCTAATCAAGAACTTACAATATACCATACCAGAACTACTCGTACCAAAGTAGCTGCACACTTTTTCTGTGCACCAACAACAACAGCAATTGTTACATGCTTATATAACAAATACTATACCCATTTTATTGCCAAAAATGATAAAACTTATCAACCTACCTCTATATCTTTCCAGGTGCCTACTGGGAAAAAACAAAATGAAAAAACTACTAATTTTATTCACCAAATCTCTAAAACTTCTGAAAACATTCCACTCTCTCCTACTTATACATCTTGTAAACATACTTGCCCCAAATGTCTTAAAATTATTACTTGCCATATCTACAATAACCAACATCATCCTAATGAAATATATATGCTAATTGATAAAGAAATTTATCATAATATCTGTACCCCGAGGGTGTGGCGACTTAGTGAAGTGGTGGAGTTGTCGCACCCCCAGACGGCAGGTCTAGAGTTTGAATCCCACGGACAACGTTTTCGAAAAATAGCCCTGTGATACGGTTAACGGCTATTCAATGATCGGTAGGATCTAGAAATCTGTAATCTCGGTCACACCATCTAGAATGGGAGCCTTGGCGTAATAAATCCGAGATA